GCCGGATACACGCCCATGACAGCAATTCGTCGCCGCCGAGGAGTGGATCGTTCTCGATCTTGAATCTGCGATTGGGAACCAAGGTCAGCAAGAAAACTTTTTCACACCTCGAATACGAATGCAAAGAAAGACGGATCTCGTCGGATGTCAAATGTCATGAACATGTGTCATGCCGTCAACGGTGCGGTGTGCAGCGGCCCGACCTGTCAACACGGGCCGCCACAGCTGCTTGACGCTTCCTTGGCGAGCGAGTATTGGCGGCTGGCGGCTCGTGACGGGAACTTGACGGTCGTGGTGACACGACGCAGGAAAAGAGGCTCGGCAACTGCGGTCGCACGGCATCCTCCACCTTTGTGTGTTTTTGACGCGAGCACGACGGGCCACTGCATCTCGTCCGAGGATGGATCAGACCATCAGGTCTGTGTTCATCGTATCTCAGAGGGTACACCATCCGCAAGAGCACACCACCTGACGGTCGGACACGCTGCACCTGCGGAAGGATAGGCGCGGAGCCGCGCGACTGAGACTCTCGTCGGGTCGTGTATCGTGAAGAGTGGGTGTGACGACGACGTGGCGGTGAAGAGAAAGTGAAAGTGACTAAATCAAGAAAACCTTACCTGACGAAACTGAGCTCCTGCACCACTCTCGAGACCTTCGGGAACTTCAGTCGCGCTCCGCCTTCCCACTCAGGATGGTCCGTCTTCTTCGAACTGGTCTTCAGTTTGAAATCGTCTTCATCGGCTGCCTTGCCGTTGACTGCCCCAATCTCGACATGTAGTTCACATTTGACAAAAGGGCGTAGGTTCTTGCCGTTGCGGCTGCTGTCGCTGTCCGATGAGCTAGGCACCCAGATATGCTGACCAGCGATGATTGTGACGACGAGATCTAGGTCACCCTGGGGCGCCGCGTCGACCTCGGTCTCAGTGTTCTTGTCGGTGCTGCGGTATCCGACTGGCTTGAGAACCCAGCCCAGCTCGTCTGCGAACATGCCTTCATTCAGCATCATGCCTTCGTCCAGGTACTGCCAGTTGAGGGCGACCATCTGCACACCCTTCCGCCAGAATGGGCTGGGGTCGGGGTTTGAGCTGTCAACGCGGGTGCCGTTGGGGAAGGCTCGCATGAAGAAGTTCTTGTTGTGAGCGAACATCTCACGAGCTTTGGTCGTGTGAAGCTCGAGAATCTTGCTCTCACTTATCGAGAAGATATGCCCAGGCTTCTTAGCGGCAGGTGTCTCAAAACTCTTAAAGTGCTCACTATGCGTGTAGATCGCCAAGTTGCTCAGTGCCGTGGCGATGTCGGATTTGGGGTTATGTTGGACCGGAGCTGCCGCCGGTGCGTTGGTGCGTTCGTCTTCGGAGCTGGAGGCATCCTCATCATTGGCGTGAACCATTGATAAAGCCGTAGTGCTGGGAGGCACCTCGATCTTGTGAGGTGCTTTCTTGACCTTGATCATGATCTTCCTCTTCATCTCCTCAAGTTTAGGAAGACGGAAGCGTGGGTCGATGCCTTCGCACGACTTGTCGACCAGCATCTCACCCCATTCTTCCTTCATGATCTTGACCATGACATTCTGTTGCTCAATATCCGCGTGAACCTCGAGACTAATAATAAGCGGTAGTTCATTGGTCTCAAATGCGGACTCGCGGACAGCCTGGCAAACTTCCCGGAACCCACACGGAGTTGTCAAGGTCCAACCATGGGTGACAATGGGCTCATCTTTCGGGTACGGTGGGCGAAATTTGCTTGGAGTGGGTGATGTAGGTCGCAGAGTTTCATTCAGAGATTCAACCGAGGCACTCGGGCCAAGAACAGTGGTGCTGTCGGATGGTCCCAAGGACCTGCTAGCGGTGGCTGCGCTGGCTGCACTGGCATTCCTCCTGTGACTATGCTCGTGTACGCTTCGCTCGCTGCCGATCAGCTCTTCGACATGCTCCTTCAGACTAGCCGCAACGTTGGGGAACGATGAGCCAGAAAGGTTCCGGGAATGCTCAGGCTTGGGCGACCGGCTCCGCTCCTGGCCCGTCGTGATCGGAGTGTCTCCGTTCCAAACATCAATCTCGATACATCGGCAGCCTTTGCGGAGCACCTGGAATTAAATGTGAGCATGGTCAACTTTCGCATCAATACCAAGCAGTACATACTGTTTTGTAAGCCTCCGGGTCGCTCGTGGAAGCTAATTGGTTTCCGACCAGGTAAGTATTGTGGCTGCTGCTGATGAAATAGTTCGATAGCGGTCGGCTGATGTCTTTATCCTCCGGATTCAACGGTCGGGTGGCTTCCAGGCCGTACTTCTTCCACCAAAACTCGAAGAACTCGGGCCATGTGTATCTCTCCTTATCTTCGGGCAGGACATCGTCGGCATCAATTTCGCCCTGCACAGAATCGAGGAATGCGACGAATTGCTCGCGAGTGACGAACGGCGAGCGTGATATCGAGGAGCGGCGGGATCGGATGTCGTCAAAGACTTTCTTGAGGCGGTTCTGGATGGCAAGACTGCCGTCGAATGCGGGAGGTTCCGAGGAAGGGGTGTGGAAGTCTTTGGGGTCAACGGAAGAGAACGAGGGCTCGGTAGCACCATCGACATTGGTAATGTTGATTCGGGGTGTTTGCGGCGTCATTCGGAAGTGGGAGCCCTTGTCTGTCGGTGCAAGCAAGGTTGTGAAGCCCACCATCTTCCTAAGGGCGCCCTCCGAGGCTTTGTTGGTATTGTTGAAGAGGGGCATCGTGAAGGTGCGCTTCTTGGGCGCCCTTTCGTCACCAGGAGCCTTGCGGCGTCGGAGCTGCAAGAGTCGTCAGTTGGAATTTGCACTTCGTGCATTGAAGGAGTGTAGGTTGGCGAAGTCCCAAGCCACTGGGAAAGGGTGCGATTGAGGGCAGGGTCTGGGCGGGAGCTTCGAAACAGGGTGCGGAACATCAGACGGAGTGGCAGACGTACGTATAGACACATGATGAATTAGCTTCGGCGGCTATACAGCACACCCCTCTTTCTCTGGTCTTTCTCTGGTGTTGTTGCGTTTCGAAGGATCGGGTTGTTCGCGTGTCAATTGGCGAAGGAGGGGCGTTTTTAGGGTCCTGCTCGGCAGCCTTCTCTGGTGCTAGAGGCAGAGGTTGTGGCTTCGCAGTCGTAGGTATGGAGGTCAAGCCATTGGAGAGTTAACGGGAGCCCATTAGGAGGAGGTAATGATGCAGGAATTAGCTGAAGCTGAGATAAAACTGCAGTTTCTAGGTGAGAGAAGTTCGAGGATTGAAAGTAATGGCAAAGTAAGGTAAGGCATGGTGGAGGAACAGCGGGAGCAATTTGAACGGGGAGAGTGGAAGCGTGGTTATGCATGTCAGCAACAGCTGAAGACATGGGGAGGGGGGACAGCCTCGTCCGGTGGTGTAGCCAGTGGCCAATGGGATCCAGCCAGCACTGCCCCGATGGTCTGGATCCCTGCCGGGGGTGGTCCCCTCTGCCCTGCCAGTGGTCCCAGTGATCCCAGCGCTGCTGTTTAGCGTCGCGCTCCCTACCTTACCTCTCCAGTGAGACCGTGACTCTCGGTAACGCACATAGGGCAGTCCAAGGCAAGCAATTTTGGGCGGGCCATGACGGAACCAGCCCATTTCTCCCCTGAATCCATAAGTTCTGTTTCGTTCTCCATGTTTTCCTTATGCTGGAGCCTGGAGCCTGGTGCGCTGTTGTTGACACGGCAGAGTCAGAGTCCCCTGAATTATGTGAGGAATTTCGCCTGCTTCATCAACGCGTGCCGTCGCATATTTCTGCCATTGGGAGCTGATGCTGCCGTTGTCAGACGAGTGTGCCACCGAGAATGCCCTGTCGCTGCACGAGGCATCATTGGCCAGCGACCTGAAATGTTCACTGTTTGTGTCCTGCATGCACGGTGACAAGGCAGCGCTGTTTTGGGGGCGGAGTCTGCTGTGATGTCCATCCCGCTGCATCGCGACGTGGAGCGTCACACTCGATGCCTAGAATCGAAGGGAGACCAAGACAACCGAACCTCCACTGCAGAGGAGGCAGGGCTTGGGTTTGGACCCCAAATCGCAGCTTGCCCTGTTCTGTCATGCCAGAGCCCTGCTCCCGCGTCATTGGGTGTTGGCACCAAGCTGTCCGTAACTCACGGAGCCCGAGAGGGCGGCCGGCGGCGAGCGTTGGCCTCACGGATTGGCCGAGGACCCGCGAAAGTCATTTCCAAACTAGTGGTCTTGCCGTCCTAAATTTGTCGTCTTGGAGCGTGCCAGAGCAATTCGATACGGGAGGGTGGCCAGGCATAACGGTTCGGCCCCACCATCCATACGAGATTACATAACTTTCTTATGAACCGTTCATATGTTTGAGCTTCTGTATTGCACCTTATGCACGGTAGCCAAGTGCCGATCAATATACTGGCAGAAAGGGGCCTCGTCAAAGGCGTAAACCCTCGCCAAAACTCCTCATGCAAACCAGGCGGGTGATGGACACTTTGTAGCACCCAACCTACCTAGACAAAGCATCCTGTAGCTTCTGTAAGGTATTCATCCGTGCTTGGTCTTCAAGGGACGCTAGGTTGCCCCACTCCGGTCCGGGCCGCTGCTCGGCTCCGGTGTTCGTCCGGTGGTTCGGCGCCAAGCGACTGTGGGTCAACGGTCTAGTAGCGGTCCGGGATACCTGCAGTAGCGCTCCGGACCCCACGAGCTTCTTCGACGTCTCATATCCATGCATAGATCTAACAGATGATGGTGTCACTGCGCAGGATGTTAGTAGGGAATTCAGATAGATGGCGCCCAAGAGCTGTTCAGGGAATCTTGGCACTATCAAAATCAAGACAGTATCGCTCTCCAGCTGGAATAATGTTTATGAAGAGGACTGTCAGCCGCTCTTCTGTCTGCGGAGCTAAATTTCCTGTACACTTGACTTAAGGAAAGACTCAAAGAGACCACAAAAGCAGAGACGACGCAATCATCTCATCGTGTACTACGAAAGCCTATTGGCTCGGGCACTCTGTTTCTCGCTGGACACCTTTATGGCTCAGGTCCTCTGAAATTTGTAGACACCTTTGTGTCGCCAACAAACTTTTGAACTTCTCAAGTTTTTTTTCCCTCTTTCTCATTTCAAGTCTGCATATCCATGTCCCGTTCTTGACCCCGTCGAGAGTAGCACCATACAAGTGTTTCACTCGGCGTGCATTAATAAGTCTACACAATCATTCCCTCAATTCCCCAAGCTCCCCCAGGAGCTTCAAGACCAAATCTGGAGCGACGCCGTCCGCCCCATCAGCCCAGGCCACGATGGCGTCCACTTCTTCACCATCTTCAACCCTGTACATTCCGACGAAAAGTTCAGAGACCATCTTGTCGTCCAGCAGGCGGGCTACTATTCGAATCGCAGCGAGTTCCCCCTTATACTTAGCGCACCGACATCGAAAGACAACTCATCGCAGCCGTCGTGGAATGTTGGCAACCCATCCACATACGCTGCCGACTTTGGCCTCTGGACCGCCTGTAGAGACTCGTACAAGGCCATCTACAAGGGATATGACCGGCTCAGACAGGACTCAATTCAGAAAATCGACCGCCCTAGAGCCTTTCATACCTGGCAAACGCACAGAGAAGACTGCAAGGACTTCCCTGTGACGTTCTCTGCGGCAAATGGTGACGGCAGCCCTGTCAACCTGACGGTTCTCCCGCTGCGCAACCTTTTTGTGCTCTGACGTTTCGAGGATGTAGGCAGTATTTCCTCTACTTTGCAGAATGCGACCTTCGACTCCCCGAAATTTGGATACAACGGGGTCACTCACGTTGCGGTCGAGTTCGATCCATAATGGAGTGTGGAAGGAATTAGACAGTGCAGGAACAACGCCAAAATTACGAACATGGAGTATCGGGCGTGTCGGGAAATCTCCGAGGCCATCTGGCGCCCACAAAGGTCGTTCCAGTACCTGTGGGTGGTGGAGTACAAGTTACGCTTGAAGGCTGGTGTGTGTGACCCGGAGAAACGAGCCATACTTTGGAAGTCGGATTCCGAAGAGCAGTTCGTCTTCGAGGGCCAAGGGTGCAATTACTACGCTGTGCCGAGAGAAAATCCCCAGGACTTTTGTGAATATCGCGACGGCCTTGAACCGTCAAATCCCGTGTGGAGAGTCAATGACGCATTGGACGGATCAGATGCTATTTTCGGCAATTATTTTCATCTTTCATACCTATACGGCGAAAGCTCTCTGCCGTCCAACGAGAAGATCGGGATTTTGGTTTGCGAATATGACTGATGATAACCGGGGTCAAGTTTAGAGTTAGCGCATGTATGTTTGGTGACCTCACTGCGGGATTTCACAATTGCATACATTGCAAGACGCGAGGGCTCAGTTGTTCGGGGTATCATTAGGTCTCCTCCAGAAGAAACCGTGTTGATCTCATTGCATTCGTACTAGAAAGACGTATAAAATTATATCTCATTACCACTTCTTGAATCAAGAGCTGCTTAGGAGCTTCTCGACTGCCCATTTCACAGAGAAATTCCTCAAGTCGGAGTAGTGCTGACCAACGCCGACAAATAGGACAGGGACGTTAGTTGCGTGAACGAGACTGACCAGAGTGCCAACCATGTTGCCCACGGTATCGCACTTGGAGATGATAAATCCATCGAGAGAGCGAACGGCGCCAAAGGCGGCGTTGAAGTTGCGCGCTTGCGCTACGGAGTCGGTTCCGACTAAAGCCTTTTCACATTGTCAGTTATACGATTGCAAATATTTTTAGTGGCAAAGGGCTCTCACCTCTCCAACCATGAGAATCTTATCGGGTTGAGCGAATTTGGCAAACTTCTCCAGAGAAGACATAAGACGCTGATCGTTGTGTCTGCGCCCAGCAGTATCGATGAGGACGACATCGAAACCTTCTTGGCCTGCAAAAGAGACAGCATCGCGCGCAACAGTGGCGGCGTCCTTGCCGTAACCCTTCTGGTACAGCTCAACGCGGCCTCCCTCACGAGAAGTGAGCTCCTTCAGGTTGCGGACATGGACTGCCAGTTGCTCGACGGCGCCAGAACGGAACGTATCTCCCGCGGCAATGAGGACCTTGTACTTATTCTGGAGGAGGAAGAAACAGATCTTCGACAGGTTGGTGGACTTTCCAACGCCGTTGACGCCAACAATTGAGATGACATAGGGCCGAGCCTTTCGCATGGAGGTCGCGGGCGGAGCGGTGATGGCGTCAATCTCGCGGAGCAGGTCGAGAGAAGAAGTAGGGGTGAGCATCTTGGTCAGGGAAGCCTCCATTGCGGACTGGATCTTGGTGTTAATGCTCTCGAAGCTGCCTGTCTTGACACCAAGTAGTTCCTTTTCGACGCCCTCACATAGGCGGATTGCGGCCTCGCGCGCGACATTCTTCTTGAGAAGATGCTCCTCCATGCCCTTCATTGCCTTGTCGAGGTCGGCCTTCGTAAGAGTCTTGCCTCCCACAACATTGCGGAACAGGCCTCCGATCGTGCTGAGTCCGGAGCCGATAAGTCCGTTCGAAGCTTCGGTCGAAGAGTCCGTCTTGGACTGCGCGGATGCGAGAATGTTGTGGACTTCGTCGTCGAGGTCCTTAAGGATGAACTGACCCTTGGAAGTCTTGTTGCCCCATGTCGAAGCGTCAACTTGCTCAAGGGCGGAGGAGCGCGCGGCAGTCCCCTCGGCCTCGGAGTCACTAGTTGCCGATCTCGGAGCAGCCGAGTAGTCAAGCTGAACATCGTCTTCCTCATCCGCCAAACCATCAGCATCCCACTTGCGGCCTTTCTTCGTCGAAGATCGGGTCGCTGGCCGGGGCCTTCTGCCAGAGGATTCGTCACCGGAGGAGGCAGCAACAGCTCCTGGGTTTTGCGCCTTGCGGGCACGACGGGACATTTTTGCGGCAGGGCCAGGCTTGCCGACCACGACGCCAGGAGTCGAGGGTCGGGACGTGTTCGGCGTAATAATCGGGGTCGATTCGTTCGTGGAAGCGCCGCCGTTTGCGCCGTTGATACCACGTCCTAGAGTATGTATTTAGCTTTGTGTTGCCCCGCGGGAAAAGGGGGTATGTAGGCCAGTTGCTTACCCCTGTAATGAAGACCAGAGGGAAGTGGAGGCTCATCGCCGAGGTTTCCAGACAGTGTCTCGTCCTCCTTAGCAAAGTCGGCGTCCGAGATGTTGGAGTCACCCTTGGGGCCTGTCGTTTCCAGCTCGCGCATCTGCTGGTCGAAGTATCCGTCGAACTTGTTACACTCTACCAGTGTTGTGTGAGGCTTCGTCAGTTGTTCGCCGTATAGATCCACGAAAATAGTCTTGATATTGTCGACCAGCTTGTCAATCCACGACAGGTGAAGTAGAGATCTATAGACGGCCTGCCCGCGCGCGGTTCTGTCAGCATGTCGTTTGTCGCTCAGGAACATCAAGATTTCTGACCACAAAGATGACACCTAGTTCCTTGACGAAGGTATACCGAAGGGTGTGCTGGTCGCGCTTGTACGGTGGGTTGCTGGCAGCAGACTGGCTCGACGCAGCGCCGGCCTTTTCCTCGATGAACACATCGGAAATGAAGTTGTTGATGACGGACGGGTTGACCGGCGCATATGTCCTTGACCAAAGGACCACACCCGATGTGGTCAGGATTTCGAAAGTGTCCAACATGATGGTTCGCAAACTTCTGTTCCTGGAATCGCGGCGTAATCTGGCAATTGGGCGACTGGCGACAGGTAGAGGGAGAGGGGGAAGCTGAGTTGGAGGCGAACTTCCTAGACGATCCAGAAAGTTGGCCTGTGGCGCAGACGGGGACCGATAAGAACGGGTCGGCCGATAGCTTTCGCAATTGATGGACCCCAAAGGTATCGATAAGCCATCGGAGGTTGGGATAATCCGCGACAAGCATTTGGCACTGTACAGACGCGTGGAACTGCGCTTTCAGGACGGTGCGAATATCACAGCTCGTAGACGGACCCACGCCGATGACATGCGCTGAAGTAAACACATTTCCATAAGGTACCGCTGCAGCTCCATCCACAACCTTGCCTGCGCCCCCCATCACAGACGACTTCCAAAAGGGAGGCATCCCACTTGCAAGCCCGCGACAACGCAACTGCTCGGCCCGAACCCGCGGTCCTCTCCCTCGAAAATCGAACGAGTTCTCACCCGCACACCCAGCAGATTATTGCATCGACTGCCCAGCAGCTAGCCCATCATGCAGCGCCCTCAAACATACGGCCAGTCGCCTCCTCTGCACCACCCCGTACCCCAGCATGTCTCGACCGTTCCCCAGCTGCGCTCGCCGCCTCCCCCAGTGTCCCAAACGCAATCGCAGCAAAGCTACGGCAGCCCGTACCAGCAACAGGGTGGCTCAAGCGGAAACGTCTTTGGCGCATACGGACAGTTCATGAATGACCCTACGGCGCAAGTTGCCGCACAATTCGGGCAGACGGCCTTCAAGCATGGCCAGGAATACATGGAACAGAACGTACGTTGAATCTCAGCCCTCGGCATTGACAGTACACGTTGCGAAGCTTCGTGAGCGTTGCAACAGACCCCAAAACTGACCGCTACTAGTTTAACCGATATGTCAACGTAAATGCCCTGAAGCACTACTTCAACGTCTCCAACTCCTATGTCATCAACAAGCTATTCCTCGTACTCTTCCCCTGGAGGCACAAGCCATGGTCGCGCAAGCAGTCCGTGGGACCCAGCGGCCAGGAGGGGTGGTACCTGCCGCCGCGCGACGACATCAACAGCCCCGACATGTACATCCCCGTCATGGCGGTTGTGACATATATCCTCCTGTCCACCCTCATCGCCGGTCTCCGCGGACAGTTCCAGCCGGAGCTTCTTGGATACACGGCGTCAACGGCCCTTGTCATCGTGGTGGCTGAGATTTTGGGTCTCAAGCTGGGTTGCTATCTGTTGGGCATCTCGAACGATTCGCAGCTCTACGATCTGATCGCGTACTCTGGCTACAAGTTTGTCGGCATTATTGTGACCGTTGCCGTGGCGGAGATCTTTAACGGGGGCCAGGGTACCGGCGGCTGGGTCGGGTGGTCGGTGTTCATTTACACCTTCCTGGCTAACTCCCTGTTCCTGGTGCGTAAACCAAGCTCTCTATTGATGCACATGAGGACTAACAACACCCTTAGATGCGCTCTTTGAAATACGTTCTGCTTCCCGAGAACTCGGCGAATGGCGCTGGTCCTATGCAGACTGGCGATTCCCGAGCCAAGCGAAACCAGAGGACACAGTTTCTGTTTTTCTACTCATACATCGTTCAGCTGCTCTTTATGTGGATCCTGTCTAGACCTTAAATCCACGTCACGCAGTTCATCTGGAACTCAAAAAGACCACTTCAAAAAGGTGTCATGGAAAGGAGTCAAGGTGCGCCAGGGAGCATGAAAAGAGGACACATAGAGCAAGGGATTTGCCGGCCACAGGAGGCGGGCGCATGGCTATGGCCGATGCGACCCGACATACCAGGCTGAGCTGTACGATAATGCGACACGTCACTTTGTTGAGCGCGCAGGTGTTTGTTTGGTGTTCTCATAGATGTTCGTCGCGTCGGAAAAGGCCTTAGGCCACGCCGAGGGATGACCAAGAGCTCATTCCCTGCAGCATGAGGGTCGTCATGACCAGGAACAGGCCGCGACACAGGTACTTAAAAAACAATACTATTCAAAGCCGAAATCTACGTTCAATGCAGGTCTATGTGATCTGCATCGCAGGGTCGCATTGAATATCGTGCCCATAAGGTCATGCAAGTGCCCTGAACGATGGCGTACACCCGACAGGCAGCCGCGCGGTAGACCAAAGGCGCAGATTGACACGTCAAGCTTATTCTTCAAGCTGTTTGTTTGTAAGCTTGACTCGGATAGCTGTCACAATCGCCCCGCAATTGGGCGTAGCTCATGCCCCCCATTCGCCAACCCGAACTTCGGCCGGCCAAACTCCACAAACCGGGGCACGTTGTCCTCCCTCACCCCGCCAAATGCTCGACTTCCGGTCCTAGATCCCGTCTTCCCTGTGGTTGGTCCTGCTGGCGCGAGTACATAGACTTTCTCCGGGAGCCTTTTGACCACAATCTGTCCTACTTTGCCTCGCTCTCTGCTCTTTAAAAACGACTGCCTCACAAGCATTTTGGGTTCACATACTTCTTGTGTCTCGACGCTTATCAACGACGTCATTAAAAGCCAAGAAACGTGAGCCGGGCCGGCCGCATATCGACACCGGTTCTTATCAACTTCAACCATTCACCAAGAAAGACGACTCTCACAGCCTCGGAGTAACTGCACACTTACGCTGCGAACATGGCTCTTCCCCCAATTGTGAATGCGACGCTGCAGTCCGCAGTCCTCGCCGGCACCTCAAATCTGTTGGCGCAGGCACTGACGGCCTACCGAACCGATGTATGAAAATCCGCATTGGGACTCACCCGCATCGTGCCGCGATGCGAAGCTGTCACTTCAGGGGCGTCTGAGCCTGCGTTTTCAGTGCTGATTAATCTGACCAGAGCCAACTCGTCATCGACTGGGTTCCGGTCTTCCAGTTCATCATGAACGCGGTGGTGTGCACACCGCCGAACTTCATGTGGTGAGTCTTCTCATACAGACCACACTCCGGGGTCGCTTTCTGACAGTGTCACAGGCAAGATCTCCTCGAGCAGAGCTTCCCAGCCTACCACGTCTCCCCCACCAAGGACGCCATCACCTCCGCGGCCGCCAACGACGAGAAGGAACTCGACCGCGAGGCCCGCGACAACAAGCTCGTCGAGCCCAAGCTCAACATCCGCAACACCGTCGTCAAGCTCCTCCTCGACCAGACCGTCGGCGCCGCCCTCAACACCCTGGCCTTCAGCATGTTCGTCGGCAGCATCCAGGCCGCCATGGCGCGCCCGGAGCACCTCGCCCACGCGTCCGCCTCGGCCAAGTTCCTCGTCTCGCGCGGCGCCGTCGACTATAGCAAGGTCGACTGGCAGTCCGTCGTCGCCAGGGCCAAGGAAGACTTCTGGCCCATCTTCCTTGCCGGGTTGAAGCTCTGGCCGTTGGTCAGCTTTATCAACTTTGTGTTTATCAAGAGCATTGAGGGGAGGAACTTGGTGGGTGCCCTGGCTGGTGTCGTGTGGGGTATCTACATGAGTTTGGTTGCGGCGCAATGAAGGGGTTGGATTCCAGCGAGAACACGCACATCTTCTTATCAGAGCAGAAGTTTATCAGCTCAGCACGCCTGCAACGGCAGAATATAGCGTCGAGAAGGTGCTCGTGTCATTCTAGAGTGTTGCTAGGGCCAGATGAGGCGTTTAAGGGGACGGGGACCGAAACCTGCGATCATACTTGTTTTACGGATATGCTGGGGGAGTAAGACGTTTGAAAGTGGGAGACGTAGAACAGTCTTCTATACCTTGGTTCTTAGATAATAGACCGAAGACATGCTTGAGCTGAGCTCACACCCAAACGCCTCACAGTGAGTCAGTTGCGGGCGATGGCTTGCGTTTCAGGTCGGAGCAATACCTGCGACCTGGTGTATCTCAATACAGACACGAGACAGTCGTACGTGAAACCAAGGAACACGAGATATATCAAAACAGCTCGAGGCCCAGCCATGCGAGCGCCCTTGAGGATGCGACTGTAACTATAGCAACAAGACAAGACGTGTAAATTGAGTAGGTCACGAGATAGACAAGATCTATGTGGTGTGGCATCCTGTAAATCCGAGTACGAAGAACAGAGATGCACCTCATCTTAGCACCTCATCTGAGGTAGACGGAAAATCGTTTCATCTTTGACTTACGGGATGGCCATCAGCTCGTATCATGTGAGAACCAGGCACAAATAAACATCAAATCTCGCAGACAACTTTTGAGCCATCATATTGAATGCCTCCTGCGGAGAAGACATCTTGCGATATAGTCCATCACACCGGAACCGGGCCCCGGACGCGATGATCCTCGATGCTCCCATTTTTGGGCAGGACATTCTGGTACGACACGCACCACAAACCGGGACGGTTCTGATGTGTAGACGAGACTTGCACATTCTTGCGACGAGGGAACCCCACGCCAGCGTCTGTCTCATTTATGTAAACCCGAATTCCCATCCCCCGAATCATGATGCTTTCAATCTGCATGTGGTCGCATCCAGTTTTATGAAAATATCGATACACTGGGGTAAAGAAGCACATGGTCGAAATGCTGTCCTGAGAAGCCATGTGGCTGGCTGAAGGGGGCTTGGTCAGCTCTTGAAATGAGACTCATTATTCCTGGTTGGGAGCCTTTGTGAGACGTCAAGTGGTTCCCCGGCTTGGATGACGTTCAAGGCCTTGCAGAGGTAAGACATCTAACTGGCATTCTGTGTAACGTCATTCTTGAGGACACTGTATTTCACAGTTCGTGATTGGGCCGTTGAACGAAATAGTCAGGATATGGTGCCCTCCTCATACCTGCGACATTTCGGTTGAAATGTCCCTGAGATGGAGAACTCGAGTCGTGCTCACATCGCGGGAAACACACCATCAACGGGCCACATGAGATGGATAGTGGAGATGGGAAGGGTGTTTCTTGGCCGACTGGGCGGATTCTGCCGATCGATTCGATGCTAGTTTCATATGATTTACTGCGTTGATGGATGGGGCGTGTGTGGTCCCTTTTTCGGCCAAGTTTTGCGAGGGGATCAAAGCCAACAATAACAAGTTGGGTGGTCGTAGAATGTTAGCGTCGAGTGCGATCTTTGACCTTCCGGAGCTTGCTCCTGGCCGGTGTGCGATTGGCCGTGCAGTCGGGTCGGTGAGCACCCGGGCTCGAGGCTCTGATTGGCTGAAGAGACGACTGCAGCCGGCACCTCAACTCTGTTTTTTTTTTTCTCTTTCGCTCTCCTTCCACGTTGGGAAACAGGGGGGATGCTGTTTAGGGGGGAGGTGACGTCACGAGCGCAGAGGCCACTTGGGGCTTACATCACACGCATTTCGGGAGCGGGAGGCAGATGTGACGACAACGTCCGACCGCATCCCATCAGTGTCTCTCCTATGTTTTCAGCCGCGTGAGGCTGAGGCACAATTACGGACAAGATGAAAATATTGGATGAGGCTTGTTAGTGGTGGAGGAGACGGGAACCGAGCTTAGCCTGGCCCTGGTTTGCCGTAATGAGTTGAGGAGAAGAGGAAGAGAAAAAAGACAGGTCGCGGGGACCGGGGAGTGGTGGGAAAGGTTGGACAAGGGGGGATAACGGAGGACTTATTGCGACTCCACGTGTGAAGTCGGGATGACGTGGGGCAATAACGTCACTGGCAAATGAACGGCGCCGGTGCTACCTAGCCGATGTGCTGCTAGAGAACACTACAGCTTTGTGAAGAGAGATATTTAATACAAGTAAAGAGAGGGAATGGTCAGAAGAGGCACGGAGCGATCTATTCAACACGGCCGGATTCACCCAAAAAGCTCTTTACGGCGCATAGCGTCTTAATTGATTCCAATGGTGCGCTGGACCCCTCTCATCGAAGCTTTTAGAGACATCCATGATCCAGGGGGTGGACGCCACGATACCACGCTGGGGAAGCATGATTGGCTGCACGATGCGAATTCCTTGCTCGCGGCGGGTGGGACAAGTGCGCTTTTCCCCGTCCACTTTTTTGCCTGCCCCCGTGCCGGGTTGCGGTGCGCACTACTGCGTACATTGCCTAGGTAGCCTCTAGGTTTTGCAGTTTGCGGTTCCATTTTCCTGGCAGAGACGCCGGGACACTGGACACATTGGACCAATTTGGAACATTTCCAGACCTCGGGTACCACGCCGAATCCCACATCATCTCACCATTAATCTGCGTTGCGGGGATGCGATGTTGGCAGCGAGCAGACTTGCAGCAGGCAGGCAGGCAGAAAAAGCAGCAAAAAATGTATGGACACGATGGAGAGAGAGTCACAGAGACAGAAGTCTGCCTTGCTCACCGAGTCCCGATGCTGGGATTCCGGGAGCCGTGTCCCCGTTCCGTCTGGGTGTGCCTGCCTACATGGTATTTGTGTTGGTGTGTGTGTGCCCGGCCTGTGTGATGTGCGCGGTGTGCTGCGTGGCTTTGGTCCGCTCGATCACGATCTCTCACCTCTTTGCCTGCCTATCACGCAGCCGTCACCGCTGTCCCTGCCATTGGCCCTTTGCATTACCTTAGCAGAGCCAGAGGGAGAGGGAGACGCTGCTGCCGTCGACGAGGGCTGAGACGCGCCATCGAAAAGGGGAAAGGGACGGAAGCACTACAGCAATAGGCCGTTCAAAACCAACTACTGCCACCGCAGCCCCTCGCTTATTCAAGTCAAGTCTTGATCGACTAGAGACGTTTCCAGTGCGTTTCCCGGGGCTTTGCGTCCTCTTTTGTAGCTACCTAGGTAGATTATCTTAGCTAAAGCTCCGTCTGGTCAGTCATGATACCAGAGACATGCCTCCCGTTCAGTCTGTTCCTGTCTGTCACTTCCCGTCGTCGTCACCGGTGATCGCTGCGGTCTGCTTCCCGCCCAGCCCGCCCACTTCAGTCTCTTCCACCCCAGTCCCATGCCCACCCAACAACCCCGGCTTCCACCTGCCCTAGGACCAGACTCCGTAAGCTACGGCCATCTCCCTTCTTTTTTTATCACCTCCATTGACACCTTGAGCTTCCAATCTCCTCGACCCCCGACATCCAACGGAGGTGACCACTGCCCAGGTGCGTAGGTACGGTGCCACCAGAAATAAGGTCTGCCCTGGCCGCTCTTGGACGACAAAGCAAAGGGATCGACACGGGGGAGTCAGAGTCACGGTCGCCGTCGTCTCGAAAAAGACAAGAAAAAACAAAGATCACCAACCAAAAGGTCGAAATTTATTTTGGATAAGACCGCCATCTGCGTAACAAGCCACATTGCGACGCCGTTCCTTCAGCCCCCAAACCGACCCCGAGAACGGTCGTCTTCCTCCGTCCTGGCCTGTCCGCTCCTCGACCGTCTCCCACGTCTTACCTCTCCCGCTCCCGCCTGGTTGTCATCTCGTCTTTTCTCCCACATACGAGACGGGACGCTTGCATCCTTGGTTATTTCCATCATTCCACACGCAAGCCTTCCCAGACAGAAGGAAGAAAAAAAAAAGCTTCCTTCTCGCATTCTTCTTGTCTACTCCTCTCCATCCTTCTCCGGATTCACTCTGTCGCAACCCAAGGCGACGTCGGCCAAGGTCCGATATCCACATCCAGCACTGCAGATTTCCACAACCACAACAACCACAACCTCCAAAAGACAACAACGCATCTCACGGCGTACATCCCGCGCGCCCAGTTGATCCGACAAGGTTGGCTGGGGATCCTGCAGTCTGCCCAGTACTTTTCTTAGTCCTGACCCGCCCTATATTTACCGGCTTTGAAGCTCAACGTCAACCCCCGGCCAGGAAACAACAGGCTGGGTGTGCCGCGGTGCGCGCCTGTCTCCACCCGGCAAAGCAGAATCGCAGCTTCCGGACCGACCACATTGGCACCCTCGTCTGCCTCATCCACTTTGCGCCACTTTGCGCACACCACCCCGGCTCGCTTCTGGCGCTTTTTCTCTCGTCCACCTGCCTTGCGCGTCTCCCGCATCTCCTCTCTTGCATCGAGAAACAAAATCCCCCCAGGCCGTGACTCGCCCTGCTCGCACATCGCGCCTGCCGACTCGAACTTTACTTACCTTCACCGGCGGGACCGAGAACGACTTGGGAGCCAAGCAAAGAAGCACAAGAAACACACCCAAGAGTGTTATTGGTCTGAGTCCAGGACCTGATCCAAAGACGCCCATTGGTTGAGAATGAGAGAAAACGCAGATACTGACAACAACACTTGCCGATCCCTTGGCTGAGCGGACGACTCACATCCTGCCCGCCGCCATGCATCCTCCCCCGCTCCTCGGTGTGGGCGTTGTTGACCTGCTCGAGTCCGACCCCCGACCGAGCTTCGTTGTTGCCCTTGCTGCGTCGTTCAAGGATCCCTCTCGCGCCGAGGTCGTCTACAACAATCCAGCTTTGACAGGCAAGCCCGCCCTTCTCGAGGTATTGCAGTCCATATCGAGCCTCGACCACACGAGATTTTGGGACTGGATCACCGCACAGGACGTAAACCCACCGCAGTCCTTCTTGTATAACAACCACTTCTGGACTCGCAGTGTTGTACAATCCAAATGGG